AAAACCCCCCAAAAGGGAATAGAAGCAGAAACAAAACTCAAAAGGAGGGACGAACTCAGAACCAAAAATATAAAGCCTTTATTACACATCGGAGGGGTGTGGGGGTGGCGGTCTGGAAGGTGACACCGCACCAGACGTGGCCGCCGTTCTGGAGACAGCGGAGCGCTCCTCCTCGATGAGCGGCGACTGCCCCTCATTCCAATGGATAACTCTACCAGTGACGCGGAACACACGCCCCCGCTGCGGCCCCGATGTCTTTGCCAAGGCCGATCCCGCTCCTGTGGGCAATAGAGTTCGCATTGATGCCGCCGCCGCCGCCGCAGGCTGCAGCGGTGCGGGTGAGAGAGGTGATCCCGAGCCCGACAGGCACGGGAGTGGTGCGCTGCTGGAACCCGAAACAGGCAAGGGCTCCACCGAGCGTGTGCACAACGGATCTCCACACTCATCGTTACTTTCATCACTTTTATCCGTCAGGCTCCGCGAAGTGGAGGGGACCCGCATGACGACGGTGCTGACAGAGGCAGGATCGTTTTTCACAGCCGTCTTCACGCGCAACGTACTTGGTGGGCGGAGGGACAACCGTGCGAGGAAACTTTCCCACGCAGCAACACTCAGAAACGCATCCACGTCATCTATCGCAGCCACAACATCACCAACAGAGAGTCCGACCTCATGCGCGGGTGATTCCTTTTCCACCTTGGTCACACACAGGAATACGTGCGGGTGCAGCGTCCCTACCTCTGTCGCCTCTACACTGAAGCCGAAATGCGGCACGACGTATGTGCTGCACAGCCCCGCTTGCGTGCGCGCGACTTGCAACGGCGACATAGTGACGTGCAGCCGCGGCAGACTCGGCGACAGCCCGGGTCGAGGCGGGAGGTCCTGACAGTCGAGCGAGTTGCGCTGGGTGGGAAGCACGCTCTTGTTGTTTTCCACGACGTTATTCAGCTGCTGCTGGTCCTGCTGCTCTCCTTCCTCGGCAGAGATCGTGAAGCCGAGTGGTGCAGGCGACTTTACCGAAGAGGAGCACGTGGAAGACGTTCTCTCCAACACCCGATCTTCGTCCTCGTTGTTGATGTTGTTGTTGTTGCTGCTGGAGCCATTTACCAAAACGTCCCACCCACCAATAGAGAACGCGGCGGAACTTCCCCGGTTGGAAGCACGCTGTGCCTCCGGCTGCTGGGCGGTGTGCTGTTGTTCTTCACTGCCCAGCAGAGGCTGCCACAGGTGAAGAAACAGCTGCTGTCCCCGCTGTGCATGCGACACGGCGGGCGAGGAGCCTTGCGAGCTGAAGCCGTAGGAGAGTTCGGCCCCATTGTTGGGAGTTACAGCACCGTACCTTCTTGGAATGCGCGGGGAGGAGGCACCGCGCGCTGTCATAACGCTTGACCGCGTGTGGTCCTCACCGTGTAGCTCCGTTGAGAGGCGGTGAATCCGCATCTTCTGCATGGCGCACAGCTCCACTGAGTCTCGCAGGCCCTGCTTCACTCCCTGAAACTCGTGCAGCACCTCCGTCATGATGTACGACATGCGCCGGAGGAGGTGATCCTGCATCTCCACCAAGGTGTCTCGCAGCTTCCGATGGTCGTTCTCGAAGAGCGTCGCGAACATAGCCAAGAGGCCTGCATTGTTTGCCGTTTTTGTACTGCCCCCATTTGCAACACCCGTGTGCGGTGCCAGCGCCCTCTCCTCGCCCCCTCTGTAATACTCTTCCTCCTCCTCTTCTTCCTTGTCTCTATTCTCCAAGGCGGCCTCTTTGCGCTGCTGTACTGCTTTCAGCAGGGCTTTCATTCCCGCAAAAGCGGTGTGCATGGACGTGACAATTTCTCCCAGCAAGTCGTCATCCAACAATTCCTCAGCGCCACCAACCTGCCGCTGCTGCGGTGTGGAGGAAGCAGCCCCATTCGGCACAATCACTTGCCGCGCCTGCAACTTAAAAATCCACGCGATAGAAGGCATTAAATCCTGCAGAGCTACGTCTGTATTGGCCGACGCGCTGCTGTCCCCGCTCTCCCGCCGTGCAGCTTGGACCGGGGCCCCCGCGACTTCAGCAAGCGCGCCGTTCCTGTGCTCAGCATTCAACTGACCGCGTCTGGGCGAAGAGCTCCCCCGCGGAGGGATGCCGAAGAGGTACGCAGCTGTGTCGGGGGAGTGCTGTGCCACCTTGACGATCTCGCGCCACTTCAGCAGCAGGCCGCTCAGCGAGCGCAGGAGGATATGCTCCCGCTGGCGGGCGGACGCAGGAACCCCGTCGGCATCCGTCATCGCCATTTTTTTTTGTCGTTGTTGTTGTCGTTGTTGGAGACGAGCTTTACAGCCGCAGCTGCCAGACGTGTCCCTGCTATGGGAATAGAAACAATACCAATAATAAACGGATTATCTAGCACCCACACACTGAGTCTCGCTAAAAAAAAAAAAGACAAAACAAAACAAAAACAGCTTTTAATCCTTGCTTGCTGAAGCTCCCGTGTAGCAACGCTTGGGTGCCCCAACCCCCCAGGGAGGCCGACTCTGACTAGAAACGCACAATTCTACCCGCTTGCGGCACAAACACACGCAGCACAAAGAAGAAGAAGAAAAGAACAAACGGGGAAAAAAAAAGGAACAGCACCAAGCATGAGACTCCGTATTCCACCGCACTCTTTTTTTTTTGTTTTCTATGCTGCTTCACCCATGCGGGCCCCAAGCCCCCTCTTCCTCCTTTTCTTTCTACATAACATTGACGGTACTTAAGGGACCAGATTGCCACGGCAGGGCAACGCCCACGCAAAACAAAACAAAAACAACAAGAACATCAGGAAGCGGACCCCTTCATTGAACAGCACACGCCGGCACAGCGTGGGCGCATCATTTGTCATTTCNGCGGGGCCCTTCTTTTTTTCTTTCTTCCCCCCCCCCCCCCGCACCCCCATCTTGCCTCCTCCGCCCACAACTGTGCGTCTCCAGCTGTGTGGAGGGAAGACGCAACGCCCCAAGACCACCGAAGATGCATCCATGAACAGTGTCGAAGGAAACACACACACACGCCTTCCTCCGTATTGCTGTTGTCATTCGTTTCTCTTCCACCGTCTACATCAAACTCAACATTTTAAATCAAAAGAATTTCAAAAAAAAAATGTTCTAACTTAGAGACGGAGGAACTTTTGGATACATATACATATATGCCACTCTCCTTCCCACTCTCTCACGCTAATAGACGTGTGAAGCTTGTCGAACAATGCTCGGTATTGTGAGTCACTGCAACGTCTTTGCGGCCCACCAGTGGATCGCCCCAGGGGACGGCTTTGTGTCACCCACGTCGTAATTACGACGGAAGCAAAGCCGCGACGTTTCGAAGGGAAGTGGCTTCTCTGGCCTCCAGGTGGGGCCCGCCACCGTCGTTGTTGCACCGGGTGGCGGCGGCCTGCGGGACGCGGTTGGGGAGAACCACTCCGCCTCCTGCAGCTGCGTCACTGCAACATGAGGGAGAAGCACAGCACGCTCCCCACTTCCCGGAGACGGAAACAGAACAGGGGATTGGCTCGGTGGCTGCCTTTCCTGCTGCTGTTTTCGTTGTTCGACCGTTAAAGGTCCAACATCTTCTTCTGTCCTTCCACTCACGTTTTCATGATCCCCATCACGCTTTTGAACGTAATAATATGACGGCGTTCCATCTTTGCAAATCACAGGCTGACGAACATTCTCTGTGAAACCTAACAATACACGATCCGCAGGTTCCGTGAAGAAGACCTGCTGTCGCTGTTGGCCCCTGCCGGAGGTGCTACCCATCTGCGGCTGCTGTTGGGTCTGCTGCTCACGTTTGTGTTCTGTCGAACTCAAGGGAACATAAGAGGAGTCTTCTTGATATCTCGCGTCTTGGCTTTCGCCACGCCTGTGGGCCGCTGCCTCGGCTGAAGCACGCACGCTTTCGAGTGACGCGGTGTGTCGAGAGCGCTCCTCACCAAGGGAGACGCGTAGATTCTCCGGCACCTCCTCCCACTTCACTTTACCCTGTGAGACCACGCTGTTGATGCCCTCACATGCCTTCGCTACACATCGAAGGTCGCTGGCGATCACATCCTCCACGATGGTCCGCTTCTGAAATGGCTTAATGCGCAAGTCGGACACCTGCAGGCTGTGCGCCAGGTCAACAGAGACGGTGCGCGGGGACTTTGGGCGCCACGGTTTGGAGTCACCGTGCCTTCCACCAACACGGCTCTCTATGCGTGGCTTCTGGCTTGTGCGGCTCAGCGACTTGAACGTGCCTGTGAGTGAGTTTATAACGCACGGGTTGGGCTGCGCAGGCTCACTCCCGCCACGCACAAACCGCGAACCATCTGAAAAATCGAACATATGATTGTAGGTCAATATAGAGCGATCCTTCGCAGTCTCCCGGGGAATATAGCAGCCCTTGCTACGGTGGTTGTAATACACATAGTCTAGTGACTGCCTGTCGAAGCCGTGTGACGGGTCATGACGCCGTTGCTGCCGTTCAAAGCAGAGTTGCAGGTGTGTCTCGCGGTCCATCACCGCCTGTTCCCGCCGAAGTGTGGACGCCACGGAGGTGGTGTTTAGTATAAGCGACTGGCCGCCGGTTGGACGGACATCTGTGGGCACCGCCAACACTGGTGCCAGCCCCGCGTCCATGCTTCGGCGAATCGAGGAGCCGCGAACTGCCGCCAACACATGCTGTTTTGAGCGTGGATTACCAGCACTGCTCCACCGTACGGAATGTGATGGTGGGAGGTCGCGGCTGCCCATTGAGTCGTCGGCCGCACGCAGAGCAGGGGACGTGGCGGCCACCGCCTCCAGTGGTTTACCAGCCTCTTGTGCTGCTGCTACTCTGCGTTTCTCCACAGTTCCTTTCGGCCGATGGAATCGATCAGAAGATGGGATATGAACATCTGGCCTCTCAGTGATCTCCATGCTTTTCCTTGCACGTGTTGCTGTATGGAGGTGGGGCCTTTTGTCGCTACTATTAGTTCCCGAGGAGACACACAGAGGCAACGAAAAAACAAACACACAATCAGATCGAACCACCAATAACAACAAATAAGTTGGTAATAGAAAAATAACGACAACGCAGAATATCAAGACCTTCCTCAGTGCTCCAACGACAACGGCTACAGTAACAACAGCGGCCGAATATTTTTCATACCACATGTAGTTGTACAGTCAGATAATTGCCACTATCATGATACTCATCTTGATCGATCTCTACATGGTGTTGTCCCCTCGTACTCCCCAGCCTTCAGAGTGATGCATCGAAGCTTTTGACAGCCTTTGCGTCACGTGGGGCTCAATTGCTTTTTTCTTTCTTTTGCTTTTGGGCTACAAACGAAATCTCATTTGGGCAAACTCTGCACAAGGCAGATTTCCTCCAGACGGGCGCGTGCCGCCTCCTTCCGCCTACGCCTCTCAGCGTATATGGATCCTTTCCCTGCGTCCGGTGCGTCCACGTGTTGGCGGTTCGTGCCGTGATACACGCCCCGCATACGCGTTTCGTCGCATGAAGGGGACATAAATGAGAGAAATGGCATGCTGCAGCCCTTAGGAGCCGCAANAGCAGTAGAGGCACCACTACTCTTGGCCCCCCCGGCTGTTGCGTTATCAGCAGCTGCAACAGCAGCCGTGGAAGGGGCGGGGACATCGGGTGGAGAAGGACGCGCCGCAACGCCATAGAAGTGACACATGCCCAACTCCATTGGATGGTGGTCGGGGCGCCGCTCAACAATTGCCTTCCCCGTGCGCCGTGTGGCCGCCTCTCGCTCCCGCCTCTCCCTCATCTCATGCACCTCCAGGTCGGGCAAGATGTCGCTGTACATACCGAACGCCCGCCGCCTCGGGGCCCGCCGCGCAACTTCTGGCGTCGGCGGCGATAATTGACGCAACGACGGCGCCCACGCCGCCTCACAGCCGCACCCCTCGTCAAAGTGCCGCCTTCCACCCCGTTCGGCGTCCAGCACATAGTTGCTATTATGCAGGTCACGCCAGAGGAGGGTATGATTGACGTTGTTATTGATGTCTGTGGCGAACGCGGGGCCATATCGCCCCAGCCCGCCACCTGGCACATTGAGGCCTGTTGTGAGGGAACTCTTGTTGAGGGGCTCCGGTGCGTACTGCCTGCCTAGCCGCTTGTTGCGGTGCCCGGGGTGATTGCCTGCGATGACGTTGTCTCCGTACGGTGTGGCATACGCGGAGTCCTGAAAAGCGATGGAGATATTGTCGCGTGGGGTTTGCTGCTGCTGCTGCTGC